AGCTCTGAGAGAATTTGGAACTCACCCAAGGTCACACCAGCAGCTGCATGCGGAGGAGAGGGGAATCAAACCCGGTTCTCCCAGATTAGAGTCCATGCTCCTAACCACTACACTAAACTGGCTACAACTGGGCCCAAATCTTCTACTCCAGACCAACATGACTACCCACTTGAAACTATTCTCTCTGAGGGAACTGATCTCTGTAGTCTGAGGAGTCATTGTAATCTCCAGGAGAACTCCAGGCTCCATCTGGAAGTTGGCAACCCCACCCGGAATGCAGAAAATGACAGAGCCATGGGGCAAACCCTATGGCAGGGCTCCAACCCCTGTTTTTGGCCTGTGGGCATCTACGGAATTCTGACACAAAAGGCAGAGCCGGCCACAAAATGGCTGCCACAGCTTACCTCCAATCACAGAATGAACACAGCATTGTGTTGTGGTGGCAGCCACTGCCAGAGCAATGCTTTCAAAAATCTGCACAGTCAATCAAATCTCCAGTGGCCAATCAGAAGCCTTGCGGGACAAAAGCCCCACCTGGCCCCACCCATTTTCTAACACCACTTGGTGGGCACCAGGAACGGTCCCCTGTGGGGGACACCTGCTCTATTATCTACCACAGATTCTAGGTGAAATCGCTCCCCAAATCCCCCCCTCGCAGGCACGGCCCCCAAATGTCCAGGAATTATCCAGGCTGGAATTGGCAACGCTAGCTACAAAGAGATTTGCAGCCCTCCGTAAAGCAAATGTGACCCTCTACAGTCCTCCGGCTATTTTCCAAGCCAGGCATTATGGGAGGTGCGTGGGTGTGAAATGCACGGCATTCGCTGACCTTTCCCTGTCATGACCAAATGCTTCCCTGCTTATTTTTAGCTGGCTGGACCTTTTGGATGGCAACTTCATTATTTGTGGTTTATGACGGCACCGGGGAAGAAAAACTCTGCGTCGTCTGCCACCACTTCCCAAGCGAAAGGGCCCAACGAGATGCGAGGACGCCGCCGCCATTTAAAAGCCACTTAAAATGGCCAGTCAGGAGCAGGGCCACAGCCGTGAGGGCCTTTTGTCTCCACACAACAACCCTGTGAGGTAGGTTAGGCTGGAAGTATGTGACTGGCCCTTAATCACCCAGCGAGCTTTCACAGCCAGATGGGGATTCGAATCTGGGTCTCTAGACCCTACTCTGAAGCTCTAACTGCTGCACCACACTGGCTTTCATAGGGTGGCTGCTGTTCAACAGTAGTAAGCAGCCAGGCCTAGGTGAGTCACGCAAGACTGGTGGTACCAGGTCGCCCAGTGGTGGCTCCCATGAGTCATCTCTCAAAGGTGGAAGCAGCCCTGGAAAGGACCCTGCCCCCTCCCTGCTTTTTATTCAGAAACCAAGCCTTGGAATGCTGTGGTTGCCTAGCAACAGCCACTGAGGGCTTCTGTTTCTTAAAGCTACCAGTGCTCCTTTTATACTTTTGGTTTTTTAACCCCCCCCCCCAACCTTATTTTTTTTTGAGATTTCAGATTTCTCTGCAAACTGGGGGCATATTTGCAAAAAGATCTGCTCACAGCTGCAGTCACTGACTGGATTTAGCTGACTTGGCTAAGATGTAGCTGACTTGGCTGTTTAGCCGACTTGGCTGTTAGTAGACAGACTGAGCAGAAACCTGCTAGGCCTTGCGGGAGGCATCTAATTTCCTCCTCCCCTACTATTTCCTCTTTC